AAGAAGAAGACCTCTAGAATATTAATAAATAAAATTATAGTTTAAAAAAACTAAAACCTCGCTATTATAATTTTCAGTTTTTTCAATCCCCTCAACTGAAAGAGCTTGACAAGTAGAACACAGTGCATTTTAGAAAACAAATGGCTTATCCAGTTTTGGATATAAACAACAATATGAAAATTACAAATCCGGAAAGCCACAACTGTGTAGGTCAGTCATTGCATAGTGACTCTTTTTAAATGGCGCATCGTCGTGCAAAAGAGGCATACATCCATTTCCACCTCTTTTTTTCCACGTACATATCGTCGTTTAAATAACAAAAGCGCATACATACATATGTGAGGTTGCATAAATTATTTTCTGGAGAAAAAACACTCATATTTCAAAATGGTTCTCATTTTTATAAAGCAATCGCATTTCTGGCTAGTATATTCCAGAACGAATGGATAAGAATTGAGCCAAGAGCTGGTGTGAGCAAAACAATTTTGTGCATCAAATGTCAGTTACGCGGCTTTGTACTTTAAACGACGATATGCCTATTATAAACATACATACATACATACATCAGTATGCCAAAATATGTTAACGTTATTATTCCTTTAATCGTGTCACTGCCGATCCATATGTACACCCAATTTTGTTCCGAGCTGTGCTCATTTAACGGTGTGTGCACAGATAAACATCAAAACAATCATCAGCGTTTTTAATAAATAAAGTGAAACTTCGGCTTAGAACAATGGATTGGTTATTGTTGGCATTCAATATTCAGTCGCTCTTCATTTTTTCACTTCAAACAAAATGAATTGGCAACGGATTTTACGAATTAGTAATTATTTCCTACTACTCACCGGTTTTCAGTTGCACTGCTTTGAGCCAAGAACCCAGCGTTATCATCTTTCTATTTGGGGTATTGTAAATTTCATAGTCCTCACACTTTTCTATACCATCTGCGTGAATCAGCATTTCATAAATTCGCCGCTACTAAAAATCTTTCACGATGTGTCACCTTTTTTCTGGCACCTGATACGCGTTCAATTAATGTTGGGATTAAAGATTTACATTTTTCGAATTTTTACAATGGCTGAAGTTGGGCGCGCATGCAATAGTATTGCACGCTTATCCTCTCGGCCGTTTGCGCTTAAATTCAGTATGGAAGAGGCATTCGCGTATTTTTTAATTTTTTCAACATTTCTTATTTCACTTTGCTTTGCTTTGTATATTGCTTATGAAATGGAATTCAAACTACCGCCGTGGGATAATATTTTCATAAGTTTTGCGCTATTCATACCACATTTTGCTGTGGCTGGAGCTTTGAAGCTCTACACAATTAATTGCTGGTTCCTCCGCGAGAATTTAAGACACTTGAAAACGGACGTCGAGGATATACTAGGAATGGAACAATTAGTAACTGGCGAGAAAAGTGCCGATGATAAGATTGAAATGGATGTTAATATTAGTGCAACAAACACTTATGTAATAAAGCCAGCAAGTGACATTTTAAAGCAGTTGGAGGTGCACCAGAATAAAATTGAGCAATTGGCTGACAATGTACAGCTTGCAAGTGTTGCATTGGAAAAGGAATTGTTGTTGTTGTTGTTGATGAACAGCTCATGCTTATTGGCTGGTGTTTATTCGCTCGTCTACTTCAAAACTAGTTGGCATTTGTTTTTCTCCCCATCCTGGAAGCGAATTTTCTACGCTGCCAACATTGCTATTTACGTACTAATCTTCTGGGATTATTTGTGTTTGTGTACAAGCGTTAGCTTTTACAATAAAGTTGTAGGTGTTTGCCTAATTAATTTATATTGCATAGTTTTAAATGGAGAATATTTTATATTTTCAGAAATTGCAAATATTTGAGCGCATTCAAGTGACTTTGAAGTCTGGAAATATGATGGAGAAGCGTGCTCGAGCTGCACTTAAGGCTATACGAGAAGTGTTAACGCTTGAGCTTAGATTGAGACTGTGGAACGGTGTTAAAGTAAACGCCACAAACTTGTTGATGGTAGGGTATTCGCTTTTACATAAAACAATTCCACTATATTCTCTTTAATTTTATTTTNTCAAATTAATTTATATTGCATAGTTTTAAATGGAGAATATTTTATATTTTCAGAAATTGCAAATACTTGAGCGCATTCAAGTGACTTTGAAGTCTGGAAATATGATGGAGAAGCGTGCTCGAGCTGCACTTAAGGCTATACGAGATGTGTTAACGCTTGAGCTTAGATTGAGACTGTGGAACGGTGTTAAAGTAAACGCCACAAACTTGTTGATGGTAGGGCATTCGCTTTTACATAAAACAATTCCACTATATTCTCTTTAATTTTATTTTTCCAAGGTACACATCCTCCTGGGATTAACTATATCGGTAGTTGTGATGTATCAATATATAAATGATCAAATTATTTCCATAGTCACACGTTTGGACAGCGCCGAAAGCGGTGATTACTAATTTATGCTAACACAATTCAACTGAGGAAAATCAGGGAGTATAACTATTCATGACCTCGCCCCATTTAGTTTGAGCGCCAGTTTGACACCGGATTAAACTTGGATTTAACTGAGCACTTAAAATAATGCATAATCCANCAAATTATTTCCATAGTCACACGTTTGGACAGCGCCGAAAGCGGTGATTACTAATTTATGCTAACACAATTCAACTGAGGAAAATCAGAGAGTATAACTATTCATGACCTCGCCCCATTTAGTTTGAGCGCCAGTTTGAAACCGGATTAAACTTGGATTTAACTGAGCACTTAAAATAATGCATAATCCATAAAAACTTTGAACTTTGAATTAAATATTTGACTTTTCCGTTTCCGTTGGCAAAATTAACTGACTTTCAGTTTCCCTTTCCTGACATGATGATGCCATATGTAAAGATTTGTCAAGATATATGCCAAAACAAAATCCAAATCTTACCAATTTTATGTAAGCAAGATACGCCAATAATAATCATAATTGTTGATTGAAGAATAAAATACTTTTTAAAAGTTTAAATTACGAGGAATTCCAAATATTCACTCGTAAGGTTTTTTCGTGTAATTCCATATGGCAACATTAGGACATCATGACTTGGCAGCACTGAAAACGGTCAGTGTCAAAAGTGTATGCCAAATGTCACAAACAGCAAGACGCCAAATAAAAACCAAGCCGATTTTAGTAAACGCCGGGATTGTGTGAAAAAATTCCAAATATTGTGGAAAAAAGTGAGAAACATTAAAATATTTCAAAATGAGCGCTGGAAATATGTTGTATGGCGGTGATGAAATTGGCGCCCTTGTTTTCGACCCGGGTCATCATTCATTGCGCGTGGGTTACGCACAAGAGGATACGCCGAAAGCAGAGATTCCATCTGTGGTTGGGGTTGCACCTTCCGCACCAGACACAAACATGGATATAGAAACAAAAACTGACAACAGTATAACACAAAATAGTAAGATTATAGCGAACAAGTGTATTTTAACATACCATTAACTCTTAAACGACTTGAATTTGTTCACAGATGCAGATACTCGCAAATACTATGTGGACACCACATATGTAAATGTACCGCGCACACAAATGGAAATACAAACGTATATGAAAGATGGCATGATAGATAACTGGGATTTATTCGAAAAAGTAATTGACTACACTTATGCCAAGGTCATACAATCGGAACCTGAATACCATCCTGTGTTGTTTTCGGAGGCCTCGTGGAATGTACGCAACAATCGCGAGAAATTGACAGAACTCATGTTCGAAAAATACAATGTACCCGCTTTCTATTTGGTCAAAAATGCTGTGTTGGCAGCATTCTCGAGTGGTCGTGCAACCGCATTGGTTGTAGATAGTGGCGCAACGCACACTTCCGCTGTACCCGTGCACGAAGGCTATGTTCTTTCACAAGCAGTGGTGAAATCTCCCCTAGGCGGGGACTACTTATCGATGCAATGCCGGCAACACCTTGAAAAACAGGGTATCGATTTATCACCCGCATACAAAGTCGCATCCAAAGATTTGGTAAAAGAACGCGATGCTGCCCGCTTCACGCTGCGTAAACTACCCGAAAATCTAACGCAATCCTGGCAAAATTATATGCTTAAATCACTATTACAAGATTTCCAAATGAATATATTACAAGTGTTGGAGAATCCATATGATGAGCGTGTGGCTGCGCAAATACCCAGCGTACATTATGAATTTCCCAATGGCTACCATCAGGAGTTCGGTTCAGAGCGGTTTAAATTGGCAGAAAGTTTATTTGATCATGCCATGCTTGGCGCGGGACAATTAGCTTCAACAAGTGTGGGCATGTGTGACGCAGATGTTCGATTATCACTTTTCGGATCTGTTGTTGTAACTGGTGGTAATACGCTGTTGCAAGGATTCCCCGAGCGTCTCAACCGAGACTTGCAACTGCGGGCACCATCGAATACACGTTTGAAAATGATTTCGGCAAATGGTAGTGTAGAACGCCGCTTTGGTGCATGGATCGGAGGTTCGATTTTAGCCAGTATCGGCACATTCCAGCAAATGTGGATTTCCTCGCAGGAGTATGAAGAGTCCGGTAAAGGTCAAGTAGAACGAAAATGTCCATAAGCAACCTCATTATTTTGGGGCAAAAAGGTACGATATTAGATCGACACATATTTTAAAAAAAAAAAACTTAAAATTATGTCATAAATTAAAAGGAAAATAAAACCACAACTAAACTTAATGCTCTGTTAAAATCTGACCATATGTAACTAAGTACATACATTTACATACCGTAATTTTTTGTACTTTCGGAATCCGGAAACATCTTTTTAATTTTGTTTTGCCGTATTTATTGCATTTTATAGTATTATGAACTAAATTTTGGGAAGATATTTGAAATCTTGTCGAAATTCGTATTCTATTTTGAACTATTTCCTTAAATTTTCCCTGTATTTCTTTTTAACAATTACTTTAAAGCCTGATTATTGTTTTTCACTGTATCTTGAGCCTTCTGAATCTCGTCAATCCAATTCTGCTGTGCAATCATTTGTACCGCCTCTTTCGTTATATTTTAAACTTTTCCAACATTCGCTACGAAAGTATCCACTACTTGCGCTACGTTGACAGCTTCATGTCCTTCCCGCCGACTACGATAAGTCTGACGCGATCGCTATGGCAGCATACAGAAGACCCGCCTCTATAGCCAATACAACCTCGGGGACGATGGACAAACAACGGGTGGACTGTCTGGTTGGCTGTCGGTGAAGGTTTCAATTCTTTGAGTTGTACGGTCGATAATGTCATTGGGTATCACCAATCACCACGCTTATATTCCTCACGCAAGGAGCTCACCATCACATGCGTACAACCTGCTTCCTTGAGAGCCCAGATATTAGCGCGATAAGGAATGTTAGATGGCATTATACTGTGCTTGCGGCCGTGTCGAGCAAGTAATACCGGAAGTTAGAGCACTACATATTTTCCTTCTAAAACTCTAACTTACCGTNGTTGGGTATCACCAATCACCACGCTTATATTCCTCACGCAAGGAGCTCACCATCACAAGCGTACAACCTGCTTCCTTGAGAGCCCAGATATTAGCGCGATAAGGAATGTTAGATGGCATTATACTGTGCTTGCGGCCGTGTCGAGCAAGTAATACCGGAAGTTAGAGCACTACATATTTTCCTTCTAAAACTCTAACTTACCGTGACCATACAACCCCAGAAACCCGTTAAATAGATTTTGCTTTGGATATACATAAGTACAACGACAACTTTACAATCGGCTTTTACGGTTTAGTGGGTATCGATTTTAACACCAAAAGGTGCACCATGCCAAAAGATGCCGTAACATACGCAACTAAAATTATTTATTATACATATGATTTGGTAAAACACTGACTTAATTAATAAAAATATCCAAGTTTAATAATATCGGAATTATGCTGCATTTTCAGGTTTTTGTTGCTGCTGACGAGTTTTCTTTTGGTTTTTATGTGGTGTTGCATCTTCGTCGACGGGTCGTTTGTTAGCCGGTACTAAGTCATATAATATGGATATGGAATTTAGCTTAGGTACCATAGCTTTTTTGTTGGAATCTCTAAACTGTGAACCGGGTATTAGTGGTCGTCGACGTTGTATGATTTCAGAAGTAGCTTCAGTGCACAAACGTAATAGTCGTCACATTGCACCGTTCATGGTGTTCTTGCAGACACACTCCTATATGAAAAATAAATGAAATTGTATTGTCATTGTTCTAATTTAAAAAAAAAAATATGTATACATAAATGTGTCTTAACTACCTTTGCATCCAAAATATCGTCTGTCCAATCATCTTTTGCTAAGTTCTGTACAGACTTAATTAAAATGTTCTTTACTTTTACAACATTTTCGGCAAACGTTTTCAAAACATCTTGCACATTAACACCTTCACATCCCATGCGCCAGCAATCATAATCGGTGGCGATTGCCACGGAACCGTATAAAAGTCCTGCTTCTTTTGCCAGCACTACTTCAGGGCAGGTGGTCATGTTGATTAGATCACCACCCCACTGACGGAACATGTTACTCTCAGAACGCGACGAAAAACGAGGTCCTTCAACCGTTACAATAGTAGCTTTCTCGTGCACATTATAGTCCAACTCTTTGGCGCTTTTAATCAGCACGGCACGCACGCGTTCACTGAACGACGGAAACATGCTCAAGTGACAAACACCACGCGGACTTTCCGCTCCACCATCGTAGAATGTTTGTGCACGTTTAGTGGTGCGGTCAATGAAATCATTTGGCACCACCAAATCGCCTGGATGAATTTCTTCGCGCAGCGATCCGCAAGCGGTTGAAACTATCAAGTGTGTGCAACCCACTTGCCGCATGGCCCAGATATTTGCGCGATAATTCACATTGGTGGGCATAATGTTGTGTTTACGACCATGTCGTGCCAACAGTACACACTTTACGCCGCCAATTTCACCTTCTATCAGTACATCGGAAGGATTGCCGAAGGGAGTGTTGACCTCAGTTTCCTTGCGATTTTCCAAAATATCCGGATCATCAAGTCCACTACCCCCAATTATACCAATCTGATCAAAACAAATTTATGTGAACTATATTAATAAGACCATAATAAGCCATATGTAGATTCGTACCTTGACTGCGATGGGTTCCAAATTGGTGTCGTTGCACTTGATGTGTATCATTGTGCTGCGTTCCGAGATGTTTTCACAGTGGCTAAATCGTGAAAAGTGTATACTAAAAATTTATTTCGGCTTAATACAGCTGCTATCAGATGTAGCGGTTAAGGTCAGCTGTTGAAGAGATAAGCTGAGCGATAACAAACATAGTTGTTGTAAAGGGTTTCATGAAGTTTGTCGCAAAATTTGCAGGGGCATGGGTGGAATTCCCGTCGTGCCGGAGTTTTCATTGGACCTGGATTTTACCGAAAATTAAGTTGGAACACAAAATATTTAATATTTTGCTAAGTAGATGGGCATACTTCAAGATAACCAACCGTATAGTTATAGAAAAACTAAAAATGCAGATTGCTAGTACTTTTTACGCTGATTTTAACTATATAAATATTATTTGCCGCAATTAAAAAGTAAAGTAGATATAAAAGGTAAAACAAAAAAATTGTGATATTTTAAAATATTAATATTTTCTAAACTGCGTAACCGATTCAAAAGGTAAGATGTCAAAATAAAGGAAATTAATTTATCTTCAAGCTGATATATAAAATGTGTATGCTTTTTATACATTTAAGCCAAGAATATTATAAAACAAAAAAAAAGGAATAATTTTTTCATAAAATAATCTATTTTTAGAAAAAGTACATAATCAATTCTACTTTGTAAGGGTTATGATCCCTACGCTCGGCCGAAGGCCGCCTACGAAGAAAGAAGTTCTGGGCAAAAGAGATTATGTGATATCACCCACACTTGTCACTTGCTTGTAATTGCTTTTAATTTTGTTATTTGTCTTTAGCATTGATTATGCACTTTTTTCTAAAAGAGGTTATTTTATGAAAAAATTATAACATTTTATTTGGGTTTTGAATTTTTGGCTTAAATATATAAGTAAGCAAACACATTTTATATATCAGCTTAAAGATAGATTAATTGTCTATTTTGATATTATTACTTTCTTAATCGGTTACGTAGTTTAGAAAATATTAATATTTTAAAATACCACAAAAATTTTCTTTAACCTTTTATATCTACTTTACTTTTTAATTGCGGCAAATAATATTTATATAGTTGAAATCAGCGTAAAAAGTACTATCGGTCTGCATTTTTAGTTCCCATAGCTGAACGGTTGGTTATCTTGATGTGTTCCAGTAGATGAATTTGATTATTTAATATTCACATAAAATCTACTAAATTGTAAAAAATTTACCCCACGTTTCCATCTTCTACTAAATGTGTCTTAAGATCCGTCAAATTTCTGTTTTACAGTTTGTCCTGTTTTCTCACTTTCAAAATGAAATCAAGCCAATCAAATTGATTTGTACCCGATTTAGATGGCGCGGTAAAATTAAAACTGACAGGCTATTCTAATATTCACGCACGCCGCCAATTTACTGTCAAAAATTTCTCATGCACATGCAACTTATATGTGACCAACCGAAATTGAACGGCGTGCGTATGAAACTTAGGTTAGCCTGTGAGTTGTGAAACTACGAAATGACAGCAGATGTTAAGACAGCGATGGTAAGAAATTCGGCAAGACAGATATGGTTAACAGTGAAAATTTGCGGTCTAGACGTGGGGTTGTAAGAAATATAAAGGCGCCTTTTAAGGCGCCTGCACACGTTCAATCTTCATTGACAGTATTTCTGTATTACAAAATTTATATAACGTGTAGCATGCGATACTAACGGATCGTGATACATATAAATTTTCTAGATATTTTGAAATCCATGAATATGGATCGCAATACTGCGTGTACCCACAGACTCAGGCACGATTACGATAACCGAGGCGCCAAATTTTGAACAAAGTCGTCGATAGAGGTTTTTGAAGCAACGAATAACGTTTTACTCTTTTTCTTTTTATGGGAAGCGAAAACTACAGGAGTTACCAAGGGCCAAAGGTCAAATTCATATTTTTTTTAAACCAAATATCTCGAAAACGAAAGCACGGATCCGTAATTTTTTATGTCTTTCAATAAGAAATATGAATGCTTTTAATACGATTTTACGACATACGTTCATAGGACATACGATCATGGCCGACGAATTGAGTTAACGGTTCTAACTTACTAGCGGTCTTCATCAAAAGTGTTAAACTCTTGATAAACTTGATAAAGTGAGAAATTTCTCATATTGATAAATGAACTGTCAAACTTTGTATGGAAATCCATTTAACCAAAGTGTGTCACTTTATCAAACGACTTTGGTGGATGAATGCATAAGTTTCAGCAAAATTCAACCCTTACAGGTTGCCAGGTAGTAAGTGAAGTAATTATTTGCCAAGGCACGTTCATGAAATAATGCGGATAAACTGATAAACTTAAGCAATTTATTCCTTTATCAATTTAGATGAAGACCCTTTATCAATTTAGATGAATGCCACTTTAAACGCATAATTTAGGTAAAATTATGCATTTAATTGCTTTAAAATGTATTTTCATGTTGAACTAACTCTTCTTTACTTAAATAAAAGTGTAAAATAGTGGTGCTTGCTATGTAAACAAACGCTCAGCTAACGAACCCGCTTTCGCAAACTTTTTTCTCAAAACCAATTACAAATACAACGTCGCGTTCTTACGTGGTTTGTATTTTTGGTTCATGTTATCATGGTGTGCCTGCCTTGGGTGTGCCATGATCCAACTACTGTAATCGATAAATCGACGAAATCTGCACAGTAATAACAAAACTGTCAAAATTCTCGTCGACATCTTTTGAAAGGTCTTTCAACGAATTCAAATTCGTGACCGGATCGATATAAAAAAAAATAATAAGTAAAGAAGGTTTAAATTACTTTCAAAATAAAATAACTATAAAGAAAAGCAATACTCTCATACTTTGGTCATATGATTTTATTTCAATTAGTTGGATAAACTATTTTATGCAAATACTTTAACTGATTTAGCATTCCGTTATTTTTATAACATGCGCTGCTCAGTCTCAAATTGTCCAAGCAAAACAAATAGTGAAAAAAACTTCTTTTTTCCCTTTCCTAAAGACAGAAGGTTAAAGAGTAAATGGGTGAAATTTTGCAATAGAAATGATCAAATTAATGTTCTGAGTGCAAGAGTATGTCCTAAACACTTCAGACCAGAGCAGTTCTTAAAGACCAAGAAGGGCAAAACTGGTATTAAATTTTTTTCTGATTGGTATTTTTTTTTTTAATTTTTCACCACTTTTAGCTTGTTTAAAACCCAACGTGGTACCGTGTGTTGAGTTCCCCGTGGGAGAAATATTACCTTTGCAACTAAACGAAGAATCAAGGATGAATTGCGACATATTCGAAACTGTAGCATTAAATATACTAAAAAGCTTTGGTCCACAATACGCTTGTAATGCACACAATGAGATCTTCCAATATGTATGCGAGGATTGCAAAATATTACTTTGTCGGATATGTATACCCCAAGGTCACGAGAACCACAATTACTTGCATATCAGTAAAGTTGCATCTAAAGGAAAGGACATACTGCATGTACTTTTAGAAAGTTGTCGTTTAGGTATAAATTGTCTTGGGAACTGCATCAATAATGAATTAGATCATGCACATTTTATTGATGGAAACTGCGACGCATTGATCCAAAATATACGTAATACTTTCCATCCAATTATAGCGGCTATCATGGAGCGTGAACGCTTTCTTTTAGATTTTGTTGAAAAAATACGTAAGAAGCGGATGGAGAATCTATATGAACAAATGACTGCCCTAAAGTTTGCATTTTCTGGTTTAATGGATACAAAGGATATGTTGCAGCATTTAGCAGCAAATGGCCACCAGATGGATGACCTCAGCATTGCTATGAAGCTAGTAGAAGGTAATCGACAAATCGAAATATCGTCACAATTTTCAAACAAAAACAACCGAGAAATGATTTTTTCAAGTTTTACGAACCACTTGCTTTCAAAAATTTATTAAATGATATAAAAAAGCAAGGATCTGTTGAACTGGCGGAATCTCATTTACCTAAGGATGACTATGCCGCTGCATCTATGGATATCATTTCTGATTTATTGCAAAGTTCTGGTGACCGCGAAATGCTTTTCTCATCGCTTCTTCATATAGTGAAACAGAAGCATAAACAAGGCATAGATGTTGAAATAGCACCGAACAATTTGAAAAACGAGCCAACTCGATCGTATGCCAACGCAAATAATGTGGTCGTCGGAGAAGCGGTACCTGGTTGGATTAATAAAATAAAAGCCTTTCGTTCTGATGTACCTACATTGGCTTTTGCCACTAGTGGAAACGGCGATGGCCAAGTTAGTCGGCCTTCGGGAGTTTGCGTCTCTAAAACGGGCCAAATTTTAGTAACCGATCGACGTAATTGCAATGTTCAGGCTTTCGGCGTTGATGGACGCTTTCTATTTAAATTTGGTCGAAAAGGAAATGCTAAAGGTGAATTTGATTCAGCAGCTGGCATCTGTGTAGACAAAAGTGGACGTATTATTATTGCGGATAAAAATAACCATCGTATTGTTTTCGTCGGGTGGAATGTATCTGCTCTCATTTGGTGAGCTGGGATCGGATTATGGTTCCGTTTGATGTTGCTGTAAATACAAAATTACAAATAGCTGTGGCAGACACAGCCAATCATCGCATTCAACAATTTGAACATAATGGACGTTTCATAAGACAAATACCAATGGGTATTCTAAAATCCACCGGTTATGAAATAACGCCTCGTGGTTTATGCTACACTCCAACTGGCAAAATCATTGTATCGGATTACGCAAATCATTGCTTGCATGTAATTGAACCGGAGAGGAATAAAGTAAGTTAAAAATTATGTAGCTAAGTACTGTAAACATACCTAAATATACTTTTACGATTTACTGTTCCTAAAAAAATATTTTTTCGCAGCCGAGGGAGGGGAAATTTAGAATTTACATGCCCTACTGGCGTGTGTTGCGACGACGAAGGTGCAATAATTGTTGCGGATTCTCATAACCACCGAATTGTGGTGTACAGTTCGCATCTGGAACTTTTATGGAGCGTAAGTTTTTAGCGAAAATGCAAAATTATCAATTTCTAGTTTATTTCCTCATTGGTATTTTGTCCTTATCAAAATCCTTGTCACTTTAGATTGACGTTCGTCCATCGGTTAATCATTTACATATGGCATATTTTAATGAAACAGATCGCACTTGTGATATGGCATTAACAAGAGATGGACGAATTGTTTTTGTAACAGAAATGCTACCTGCAAATGAAGCTACTGACACAACCAAGCGATTTATTCACGTGTTCTAATAAAAAGTAAAAGTGACACTACTGTAGTTTTTATGCTTTGTTTACATACACCTAGCCTATTCTGGCCATGAGTTCTTTTTTACTGAACTTAAAATTTAATTTTATGTTAAGTATACATATGAATAACACTTAAAAATGATAAACTGGACTGAATTTAGCAATAAAAAAAGCCATTTAATTATGAAAAATTGCAATTAATGTATTACAAGTACACATATAAACATAATTTATATTAAATGATATGACATAATTTTTAACATAAATTTATATTGGGCATTTAAATATTCTCACGAAATGATCTTCGCCACAACTCGCAAGCAGAAAAGATTCAGTAGTACTGCTGCCAATATTGCCGACTGGCTGGAACTGTAAACGTTTCACTGCAGAGTCATGCGCTTTCTCCAGTGTAAGTTTACTGCAAATGCAAAGTAAGAAAAATATTATACATACAAACGTATACACATTTACAGTTCGAGAAGTTTAACGACTGTGCTCTAAATTAATATGTTTTCTTAGAATTTCATACTTACGTCGTATCTATGAGTTGTAATTGTTTGCCATTCTTTTCGGTGTTTGTTTCATTTAGTTGTTGCAGCAAAATATCACCATTTGAAAAGCCTACCGCAAGCTGATAAACTCCAGCTGTGACAGTCCTTGAACCAAAAGCAACAGCAGTAATGGGATTTATGTGTGTTTGCTTAAGATTCACGGACCATTCATCCGCTGCACCATTAGCTTGTGCCCACACACCCAGTATTGCATCTCGCCCACCAGTCGCAAAGTATTTGCTATCATGTGACCAATCACATGTCCAAATAATACGAGTATGCACAGACATTTTGGCTGCGGAGCGTTGTTTCAAGCGATAATGTGGATGATTGTTTGCAGTTGTCAATTCTTCATCGCGTTCGAATAGCGCCCAAGTGCGGTCGCGTGAAACTGATAGCAACAGTTGACCCTTAGGTGAGAAGCGCATCTGCGTCACGGTAAGTTTATGTGCAGCCAGTTTTTGAATTTGCTTCCACGTTGCAGTGTCCCTAAAAAATCCGAAAAAAAATATATAAATTTACAATCTCATCGAAATTATTTTTTACCAAAGTATTATTTGCGCGTGTTCTTCATTTGTAGCGCGGCAGGCAGAAGCCAATACCTTTCCATCTGGCGAAGCTGCTAGTGCATATATTTCGAAGCCGTGGCCGTAAAGTTTTTGCATTTCCGGCCAAAGCGTATTCTGCATAAGTGTCTCCTCTTGAGGTGGTGCGTCCAGTGTAACTGGTACGAAATAATTTTCAGGATATTCATCTTTAATATGCTTTTCGTGCGGCACAGGATCAATGTCAGAACCATACACTGCTTTATTCGATAGGCCAAGTGAAGGCACGGAAGCGCCTTTTGGCAGAGCTGTGAATAAAATTCAGCGCGGTAATTTAAAATTTTATTTTAATTAGAAAAACTTACTTTCCAGCAAAGCATCGCCCTCCGCATCACTTTGTGCTCCCGTAATGCGTCTAAAGTTTTCTATGAAATTAGTGGACGCTTGGAATGTACGTACTATCTTTTCTTCTGCTCCACTAGCGAACTTGTACCGCGAGAGTATCGCAACTGTTTGCATATCATAGCCGTGCACTTGTGGGCGTGCCAATTCGTGCCAAGATATGTCTTCATCCTTCTCTTCTTTACCACGTCGCCATGGCGAATGTATGCGAGTAGTTTGGTCCGCCGAAACTGTCAATAAGAACTCACCACTTGGTGCCCAAGCCAAATCGCGTACTTCATCAAAGTGGCCACCCACTATAATGCCGGGTGTCCAAAAATGTTCGCTATCAGTTGATTGATGCCATATATGAAAGCCACCCTGATAGCTATGTCCAAATATGGATTTGCCACTGCGGGAGAATTTACCGCCATAAAATCCCAGTGAATTACCTCCCACCTCACCCACTCGAACTTTTTCCATCCATATACCATCTTCGCTAGGTGCCCAAATAATTATAGATTTGTCAATGGAAACGGAAAGTAAACGTATACCTGTAATGAACATAAAAAACATACATACAAGAGTTGCGAGGTAGCTAACAAAAATTTACAAAATATTAACAAACTTTTAATTTACCATCTTTCTCTGATTTATGCCAGTTAACACCATATACCCAGCCTTCGTGACCGTACAGCACTGACTCCAAGCTAATAGCACACCAATTGCTAGAACTTAAATGCAGAATTTTCTCTTCCACACGTATTTCAGCAGCATCTTCTTCTATAATGTTGCAAATATCCACACTGTTTTCGCGCGTTTGCTCCTCCGTTCGTTTCGATATGCGCCATATGCGTATAAAATTGTCCTGCGCTGCACTTGCCATTAAAATATCATCTGCATCCTCAACAACGTCCAGCGCCCGTACCCAGTCTTCGTGGCCTGTCATTTGGTGTACCATACGAAACGGGTCTGTATCGGTGCTATTCTCTTCATTTTGTGCATTCTGCGCCCAAATAAGAATGTTGCCCTTCTCATTTCCAAATGCCAACAGTAATTGTTCACTCTTTGGCAAACGGAATAGGCTAAGACCAAGAACGTAGCTATTTAAATTGTTTATGGTTTGTGCTAATTCTACAGCGAGTGTATTGAACGTCCACAAAGTGACTGACTGCTCAACTGCCGTCGCTATTAACCACTTATTATCACTCAAATAGAGGCTGGTGATATCTGTTACTGGACCAATGTGCTTAAGTGCTTGAAAACGTATGCCCCTACACTGTTTATCGAATTGCCATACATATGCATTACAATCATCTGCCCCAGAAATGAAGTAAGATTCAGGTTCAGATGGTGACACGCGCAACCAATGAACTGTATTTACGCGGGCTTCATGGCCTATATAACTGCCTACATGTTTTGCTGAGCCATTGAACTGTGAAGAAAATATGTAAAAATTGGCAACTCCTCAACGGTGTTTGATTTTACTTACATTCGGATCCAGTACCGCAACGGAATGGTGTGCGCCGAATAAGATCAAACCGTTGTCACCCCAATCTGCACAATGTGGAGTGGGATTGCACGCAGCAGATGCATAAATCGTGTATTTGGAAATGTTGTTTTTGGATCTTGAATCAGTCATTGTAGTTAACTATTGAATGGTTTGCAAATTTGAGAAATTTGCTAGAATAGATGGGATCCAGAGGCACGTTTTCAGATTTTTACGGGTTTTGCTTTTATCGTTTCCTTCGCTTTTTGTTTTGCTAATAATTTAGTGTTGGCAAGCATTAAAATAACCTAACCTCGAAGTTCAGCGAAAACATAAACACGTGCTTAGACAGTGTTTGCATTGATCAACTTTGCATTCACAATTTGCGTTTAACCAAAGAACGTAAATCTATATAATAAATATAATAAATTTACCTTCTTTGGTGCAACCCTGCGCTCAGTTGAACGCGCATGTTGAACGCAATGTTGAATAAGGCAAACACACTTTTACACAGGCATTTATTTTATATTTGAAAATTGTAACTAAATATTTATGCAATGCGAGCACTGGTTATTTAACCACACTTCAAACAAATTTACGAAATAAAAGCGGTTGTTAACGAAAGAGCTCAAGTATACGAAACATGTCAAAATACTCATAACGCACGGACTTATAGGTTGTTTATATAAGGCGATTTTACAGGCATCTTCTCTCGTTCTCAGCAGCCAACCCTCGATCAACTTTGGATTGAACTAAACGCCTCTTAAATCACAGCATGTAAACACCGCATTATTTTGGAGTGTTAAATTCATGATATCCAAGTATTCGGTATTTAGTTTTTTTTCAAAATGCAACCCTTCATTAATTATTTTTTATTTCGAAAATATGGCAGTGCTGCGCAAAGCGACGCTGCATATGAAAATTTTAACGGAACGCTTGACAAGCTGTGCGTAGAAAGCAAAAGGAAAGGCGACGTGTATTTTTTTTTATTTAGTTTGTGAAAAATAAGTGGGCTTAAAAAATTAATTAACGCTATTAAAGGTTAAACAAATATACTCATATGGGGCGCAAACGAAAAATACCAATTGCAGATGAAGAAAAGGAGAATACAGTCGCTGCAAGCCGCAAACGGGGTGGTGGCGGTGGCGTCGCTGCAAGCAATCCCATGATGCTGCACGGTCCCATGTATAGAATAATGTCCAATGTGCAATTAAACGAAACCAGCCACAAAAAGTACATCAAGGAATTGAAGCAACTGTACGCGAAGGTAAGAAAACCATGAACGAAAGACACAAGATCACGGGGGAAGGAAAGAACGAAAAACAAACGGTTAATGTTCCCACGACAGTCGGGTCTACGTAACCGGAACGACCCAGATTTACATCTGGCCAAGGACTGTCACTCCAGCAACACTCCCCAAAAAGTCTTTGGGGAATTTGTATGCTGCTACAACAACAACAACAAACGGGCTAGTCTCCAGCCCGCGTGATCTTGTCTTTTTGGTTCATGTAAGAAAACTGCGTCTTTTGTTGATGTGCGCAATTTTGCATTACTTTTATTTGGCAGATGGATCATGACGCCTTCATGTTTACCTTCATCAAAATGATAAAAACAGCAATGGTAGCTGATGAAGGAAATGAGTATGCAGAAACAACTTTATTATTTTGTTCTAAATTCGTCAGCTCATATGATGGCGATGATACACATCCGCTGCTAATTGATATGAGCAAGTGGCTGCTAACTGTAAGTGCTAATTGATTTACTAAAGTTAATCCAATTACTAAACTTTAAAACTTTGTACTTCCTAGACTATTTCGCGTAATCCACACATTCGTTTCCGCATATGTCAGTTTGTTAATATGATACTCAAGGCACTTGGCCAAGAGGCAGCGCTGGATGACGCCATTTGTGATCGTATAATGGATTATATGCTGCACCGCTTACACGATACCTCACCGAATGTGCGGGTGCAAGCGATTTTAGCAATGCAGCGCTTACAAGTACCGGATAATCCCGACGATCCTGTTTTGCGCGCTTACCAGTTTCATCTCTGTTCAGATCCATCATCTCGTGTGCGTCAGGCAGTAATAACATGTATGGGACGTAACTATCATACAATTCCTTACATATTGGAACGATTGTGGGATATCGATGAAAAAGTTCGCCGACACACATATTTGCATATGAGCAGTTATCCAGTCCGGTCTTACAAGGTATCACAGCGCCTAACCTTATTGCAGCAGGGGCTTAACGATCGTTCAGAAGCAGTGCGCAAAGTAGTAGTAACAATAATGCTGCAACAATGGATTGAGTCCTATCAAAAAGATCTCATTGCTCTAATATCTGCATTGAAGCTGGATTCGAGCGAAGCCGAAATCGACCGGTTTCGAAAAGTAGCTAAGCAAACATTGAAAGAGATTTTCAAGTAAATAATTTTTTGTTGGATTTTTGTTTGCATATTTAAACTATTCAATTTTTATAGGCGTCAAAGCAAAGAAGACTTGCTTGCTTGTGTACCCTTAGAGGAAGAGGGTGAGATGCATCGTTGCGTGCCGCATGAAAAACTGTCAATGGAAATTGCATTGTATTGGCAATGCTTGACAGAATTCTTGCAATCGGAAATGGCAGAAGAGTTCGACTTAATTGTGCCGGAGTTGAGCACGTTCTGTACATATGTGGAAAAGTGAGTTTAAGAAGAATTTTGGAACAGTACGCTTTGATAGTGAACGTAACTGTTTATGAAAGAAAAATATATAATTGTAATATCTAAATCATGCCGTGTAAAAAAAATTTGAAATACGCAAACATAAAGAATTATTTTGCGCAATCGGATACTGTTACATCCTGCGGTTACACAGAATACAGCCATACCTTCTAAAACTGTATACACATTTAAATTACAGTCTGCAAATAAATAACAAATAACAAATATAAAATAAAAAATTAATATAAAATTAATAAACTTTAAATCCTGAAAACTTAATTTATTCTTAATTTTTAATATTTTTTTACAGATATTGCCAATCACAGAAACCAGATATGGATAAATTCGAGCTAATGGAATTCCAATATAAACTTCTTTCCCTGATGGAAATATTGTATACATTTGATTTGGGCGACGAGATAGGGCGTGGAAATTTGCAAAAACTGCTTTCGTATCTTTTAAAAACATTCCGCCTTGATGAAAAGGTTATTGAAGTTGTTGTACGTTGTGCAGAGAATCTTATATCTGATCAAAATGCACGCATACAGGTATGTACTTTCTAGGCATTCGAAAACAGGAGATAATGTTCAACTTTTTCTATATTTAGCTATTTGTGGAGATCATACAAGATATCTGTGGTTTGAACAGTAAACCAAATGATCTTTTGCACGATCGGACATTAATCAGCGAATTATTGGCGAGCTCATCAAATGCAGATCTAAATTTAAAATTATCTTCGCTAAAGGTTAAGCTTCTTGATTTGGAGGAACAAGAAATGAATTTTGTACAACGTAAAGATTACATGCGTGCGCAGCAAATAACCGAGGAGAAATATGCCACCACAGAAGAGTATACGAACTTGTTGCAACCGCTTTTAGATAATCATCCAAATGCAGACATGGTGAGCTATTATGAAAATTAATGTGAAAATTTCTAACACTCTTCCATTACTATTAGCTAAAGCGTCCATTACAGCTGCGTAAAACGACGAAACCGGAAAGCATATTGAAGAGTTTGCAAATAGCCTTCTATATGGTCGTTTCACCTAAAGTGCGCTCACTTAATCCGAGCATTTTAAAACTGTATAATGTAAGTGCTGAAATTTTGAAAAAATTGTAGTCCTAAGTATGTGTGTATGTAGTTGTATATATAACGTTTACTTAATGTGTAGGACTTTATTTGTCGTCATCTTGCCTCAAATCAAATTGCAATCCGTGATTGGGCTTTGAAATGTGGTACCGCCTGCAGTATGCTGTACGAGGCGCTAGCAAAAGATGTTTTCGAAGAATTATATGCGCAGTTTTTTAAAAATCACAATATTCGTATTTGGGAGACCTCCATAACGTGTATTTTCGAGCTGCTGGACAGGTAAGCTATCTTAGATTTTATTTATGTTAATGCGCCCCTAATATATATTCTCACCTTAGATATGGTTTGGATAATTTTGCCAAGCAAGAAGAGCAAAGTAAATCGAAGAAAAGCGGTCGACAGTTGTATAACACATTAGAATTTCTGGACAGTGAAGACGACTCAAATGTTCTAAATGCCGGCCAAGGCGTAGATGTGATCTATATGATGTCGCATTTTCTGGACACCTGCGATGATACTTGTATAATAAGTGCAATAATAGTCGGCTTCTGTCGGCTTATATTGCGTGGCTATATTAAGTCTAGCGATATTATTGAAAAATTACTTTTGCGATATTTCAATCCGAGCACAGGTAGCATATAGATTTTCAGATTTTTGTTTTGACATTACTAGAATTTGTATTTCTGCTGAAGATTCGAACATAAATCAAATATTGGGTGTATTTCTGGAAAATTTGATACTGCGAAAGAAGCATGGTTTACTGCAACCTTGTCTACTGCCTATGGTGTTAACAGTGCTAGGAGCACCATATGAGAATCCATTGCACGACATACGTCCTGAGACCATAACTCGCTTTATCATAGACTCTACGCGTCAGGAGACTTCTCAACTAACAGAGGGCTACATACACAACAAAATTGCTCACACATTCTTGCAAGAAATGCTGAACAATCTTACCAACAAGGAACTTTGCAAACTGTTGTCTAAAGAGCTGATTACGTTAGAATTAAATGTAACACAGAATGAACAACTAAAGCTTGAATTGAAAGAGTGTGCTGATAAGTTGATAAAGGTAGGATATTTTAGAACTTTGTTACCGCGAAAATTAATTTTAATTAGTTTGATATGTTACGTTTAGGCTGATTTCGATCCTAAGACTGTAAAGCATATAATAGATTTCAAAGATTTAGTTGATGGAAATTATAATCCTGCACGCAAACCTGCAGGGAACGATTCGGAGGGTGAAGAGGTACTTTAAATATTTTGTTTCGATCGTTTTTAGCGTCGAGCATAAAATATCTCCATATATTATATCATTTTTCAGGATAGCAATGATGAAACGGAGAATGATGCGAATAATGACGACGACAATGCCACAGTGACAACGGGGCGCAGTAAAACGTCAGTCGGTGAAGTGGTAGAGGAGCCATCCCAGCAACCCCCACCACAGCCACCTCCTAACGTCGTCATAACTGCAGTAGAAACAATTATCACGCCGGCGTTAGTCGCTGCTCCCGTCGAGCCTGCTGTCACGTCTGCTACCGCCGCAGAAGTTCCTGCTCCAGTTGAGCCTGCTGCCACGTCAGCTTCCGCTGCAGAAGTTCCTGCTATAGCAGTAGCAGATGGTGCCATAATAACAAAAGATATTTCACCTTCAGCGCGTGTGCCCACAACGTATGGACGTGAGAACCGAGTGGGGCATCGTTATTTGCGCAAATCTCTCAATTCGACACGTGGTCAATCGGACACGGAAGGGGGCGATGGACCACATCGCTCACCGAAGATACGCATTGAAGCGCGCATTGATTCTGATAAGAAAACGGAACAGCCAGCACACGAAGAGCGAAGAGTGCGCAATTTACGGGCAAAGCGCAATTTGCGTTATAACGATAAAAATTCTCAATCAGAGGAAGAAGAGCCTGTTAAGCCTTCGAAAAGTGCAGCCCAAACACACAATAAACGACGTGCACATCTGCCCACTGTTGATGTTGATGATGAGCCTGAAGTGATTTCGTCCCCTAAGCAAACATCAAATGCAAAAGGCAGTGCTAGTAACTTTGAGCAAGCTCGAAATGCTGCTAGTCCGGCTAAGCGGCAAACGAAGGAGTTAATTAAAGAAAAATCTGCCGACGAGCTTTTGGAAAAGATTGGCGAACCGAGACGGGAACAATCCAGGGAACAGCCAAAAGAGCAGATAAAAACACGTGCCAAAGAGGCAGAGCGAGCGATAGTATCACCGGCTAGGACAACCAGACCGGTGCGGGCGTCATCAAGAAGAGCTAAACAGATCAGTACGGCTGAGGTAAAAATTTGAGATTATATTTAGATTTAGTTCTTAAAATATAATTTTGGTATTTAATTTTACCTTTTGTTTACTGCAGCTCAATACATCCGACGTTATACAGCCTTCACCACCGGTGGCGATATCACCACGTACGATTGTTCGACGTCAGCGGCGTGCCGGTGGTGGTGATATATCAGTCGCTAATCTAACTCAATCTGCGCGTCCTGCAACGCGAAGTCATTCTGCTCAGCCAGCACATAATCAAGTGAGTACCAGACGACGAGGATTACAACTGTAGATAGTCCAGTACAATTACTAACCAATCTCCACACCAATATTACTACCGCCTCCACCCACCAGTGTCACCATCGCCATAACCATCACCACCACCACCAGCACCCACTTAACAACGCACAGGCTATTTGTAATTTTTCCTAATTATTTGCACCTATATGTATACATATACAGTATCGGTCATATCTATAGCACGCCATTTCAAAGTGATATTGTGTGCAACTTATGTTTATTTATTTATTTTTAAGAATTTTCAATTAAATTACAGTTCTTTCTCTAACAAACCCTATATAAACCCAAGTTTAACAATTGGTAGAAAACTTCAAAAAAGTGCAACCAATTTTCACCTAAGTTTCAAACTTTTTTCTCGGAAGTGTTAGAATTTTTTTGAGTACACAGTTTTTTAGCCCCTGCAATTTTAGTCTGATAATGTGCAAATTTCAAGTGGCTACGAATTACCGTTAATTTTTTAGAATTTTTTTTGTCGCATTGGCTTCCATATAATGAATAAACTCAATTTATTTGTATATGGATGAAAACCGCAACACCTTTGGCGAAAAAAATTCTAAAAAATCAACGGTAACTTTCAGTCACTTGAAACTTGCACATTATCAGACTAAAATTGAAGGGGCTAAAAAACTGTGTACTCAAAAAAATTCTAACACTTCCGAGAAAAAAGTTTGAAACTTAGGTGAAAATTTGTTGCACTTTTTTGAAGTTTTCTACAAATTGTTAAACTTGGGTTTATATGGGGTTTGTTAGATAAAGAACTGTATTTTAATTGAAAATTCTCAAAAATAAACAAATAAACATAAGTTGCACACAATATCACTTCGAAATGGCGTGCTATAGATATGACCGATACTGTATATAGTTATATTTCCTTAACGTTACATTTGTATAAATTTTGACTATTTAAAATATATATATATTTTTACGTTAAAAAAAAAAATGTAAATACAACTGACTTGGATGCGTAAATGTGTGTGCGTGTGGTTGCTGCACGGTGGTGAGCGAGGGATGCTGGCTGGCTGTCTGCAATGACCAGTAGAAGTGTCTTAGGAGTGCTATAAGCCGTATTACTTTTATTTATAGTCTAATGGCCTTATTCATAAAAAATAAAGTAGTCTTATAAAAGGTTTATAAATTGAAAAATGTCAATGAAAACGTCAATAAATATAAAGCTCTTTAAACCTTCTTTATTTTTTATGATTAAGGCCATAAGTTTCTTAGTCCGGAATTAGTTATAATAATAATTGTGTGCGATATTCTTTTGTTGCTTTTAAAGACCAGCGTTGCAAACATTCCGTATGCAAATTTGTAACTTTATTTGAATGCTTAGGTTCAGTTGCCAAACCAATATTGTTTTCGAATATATCTATTTCCTGTCCATTATGTCTGTTGTTAAAATTTTTCTTTTGGTACCACGCCAATAGCTTAATATCCATCCCTTATCATTCATTCGCTGGTTAAAATTTTTCCCGGTTCCTTTCGAAATTCATCTCAGCTAGTCTAAAACAAATATAAACAAAGTTGAAATAAATAGTAGGTTTTTGAACTTGCCTAATGAAATAAAATACATTTTAACTATACCCCTCGTCCCACAATCGCATACCGTTGGCAACGTTTTATTTTATTTATATTTTGACTAAACATACCGCACAACTAAAAGATTAATAAGTCGAAACAATTTTAGCACCCCGATACATCCATTGACAGCGCAGTGGTAGATAACATCCATCTTCAGGTTCCCACTACCGCTAAGACACCAGCGCCAGCTCGCTCCAGTTTAAAACGTGCGCATCATTCTACGCCAGAACCAACTGGAAGGTTATTGCTTGGAGAGATGGTTGTTTCACCACAATTAGAATCGCCGATTCTCAAGCGTCTGCGTGCTGAAACACCAGCCAAGCGGCAAGAGATACCAAGGCGAACTCGGAGTAGTATCTCTGCATCAGCTGTCGAGCAAAAAGATGATGATGCAACAAATGAAAAAAATAAGGAGGAAGTTCCTAAAAAGCGTGGACGTGGTCGCCCGCGTACCCGATCTGAGACGTCAGCTGCAGCAAATGAAAAAAATAAGGAGGAAGTTCCTAAAAAGCGTGGACGTGGTCGCCCGCGTACCCGATCTGAGACGTCAGCTGCAGCAAATGAAAAAAATAAGGAGGAAGTTCCTAAAAAGCGTGGACGTGGTCGCCCGCGTACCCGATCTGAGACGTCAGCTGAACCCATGGATAATGTCGTAATGACAGGAAGATCTGCAGCACCAAAGTTAAATGAACCGCGAAATATAAGACCGACTACACGCGCGTCTTCTTCTAAACGTGCTCTCTCGGCCACCCGCTCCCGTTCTGCAACACGTACGCGCTCTATCAGGCGTACAACCTCTGCTACACATACACGCTCTGTTACAAGTACAAGCTCTATTAAAGGCGCTCCTTCGAATACACGCACGGATGGAGGCCAACGTACGCGCACTGTATCTGCCATGCGTACAGTACCAATTACACGCTCAGCGTCTGTGTCCCGCACGCGCTCAGGCGCTGTCACAGACGCCATATATGCTACACGAACCGACGCCAACGCGCGCACCAAATCTGCTTCACGCGCAAACATTTCGACGATCGCTGTCGTAGCTGCCTCCAGTAGGGCGGAGGATGCGCAGAATAACAGATCAAATACGAGCACGCGCGCTGACGCACACACATCATCCACTCTTGTAGCGGAAAAAAGCGTCACAGATGAAGCAAATATCTCGACGACGCGCGATGGTGTAAGCGAGAAGTCGCCGCAACCAACCGGAATGATGACACGTCGTCGTTTGTCGATGAGTGGTGGTCGCCTTGATGATGGAGCAGACGCTAGCGCCAAACCAGTTGTGAGCGAAGCTCCAGACACTGCGCCGCGCAGACGTTCATTGCGCACCGAAACCGCTACAGTCAAATTCGCCGCAGCGCCACCGAATAACGAAGTGGATGAAACGAATAAATCTAAAATTCGAATGCAGCCGAGTAGAATACCAGTGCGCGCTTCAAGCAGCAAATTGGCAACAAGTATGAAAACAAAGATTGCCACGCGCGTTTCTTCTTCGTCGCTTGCGTTGGCGCCAAGGACGGTTGAATCCAATTCGAGCAGCGGCAGCGGTAGTTCGGGCACCGAAGAGACGATGAAAACCTTAGGCGCAGCTATGTTGCGTAGACGCGCACTGGCTACCAAAATGACGCGTATCAACTTGGCGCAACGCACCAAAGGCAACCCGATGCCGATGGAGTTGGCGAAGCCGGCGCGCGTACGTACACCTGTTAAAAATGTGCCATCAGTTTCGAAATTGCGTCCGAGGAAACCTTAGGAGCTACCTACTTATATACATACATATATTTTTATAGTATTGTCGTTGAAAACTATGTAGTCCTTTGTCGTTATATATGTATACTACATAAGTTTTAGGCTAATTATTACTTTAGATTTGTGTGTATACATACATATTTCATTCTGATTTATTTTTTGGTACAAATTTATTAGCATCCGCTTGAGGCCTATACAAATTCGAATAATACATACATATTAGAAAATTCCAAATATTTTAGTAGAACTACATGAAAATTACCATGAATTATAAAATTTCATATCGATTTTTATGTATTATAATGCTTTAGCTACCTTTTAAATAAAATGAATTTCGAATTTAATAAAAAAATGTATATGGCGACGCTTTGTTCTTTTATTTATTGCGCAAAAATATATTAAGCGCTTAGATTGTGCATGGTTAAAGTTTATGGCCGAGCTTCGCCCCCTATACGTGGTGAGCATCTTCGTATTGTTACGCAAATGAGGGACCTGCAGCCTTAACGGCAAATGTTTTTATTTATGAAACTTTTTTTTTATGACAAATAATAGTCTTATCATTCCTTACATTTGGAAATCTNGAAATGAGGGACCTGCAGCCTTAACGGCAAATGTTTTTATTTATGAAACTTTTTTTTATGACAAATAATAGTCTTATCATTCCTTACATTTGGAAATCTAGGAGAGTGGTCCCACTGGTAAAACCTGTGTGATTAGAAAAATAAGAGTCTTTTATCCAGACAACTCTCCGATCTGCAAAAGTGAAAACGCTTTAGGTCTTGCTACTCTTCACGTCCCATTTCAGCCCGGCTAAATATCCACGTAGCTTACGTTAAGTGCACAGTAAGTACCACAACATAGCACCAAGGTAACATACGGCGTTAATCGCAATTATCCCTGCGAGAGAACAGTCCTTGATATTGAAGGCTCCCTTTTACCACAGGTAATAAAGCTGTGGACTGCGCATCATACTTATGTGAATGTGGTCGAAATCGTCAGCAATTTTAGAAAAAAAATCATCTATCGAAACTCTTCTCCGGCCGGCAGTACTTTGGGCAAAGACAAAATAAATGTTTTGGCCAAATAAAAAGCGATTGGATCAGCCGGATTTTAGCTTTGCTACACTAACATGGTCGCCATGGACTTGCCAAAATACTGCACTGCGGACAGCCACTCAGCTAACATCTGGTTCCCTTTAGGTCTGACTTCGACGAACCCCACACGTTTTCCAGGCCTAACGTTCTGTACAGGGCTAATGGTCTAACTGAAGTCAGCAAGTTCACATATTTAGGCAGGCACGCAGCAAGGAATATCTATCAAGGGATTCAAAACATCAAGGCGCATGCCACAAATCGGAGGAGAAGGCTCGGTTAAACACTGTAAGCGCCAATCTATTATTATTATTATTAAATCATTTTATAACTATGATGGAAGTGGGTTTGCAGTGGGGGGAATATAAAAACTACTTATGTATGAGTAAATATCTTAGGGGTTTTCGCAGAGAAGTATTTAGACCATGACTTGCCGGAAAGAAGGGAGTGAATGAACCATTAAACGACCGATCCAAATCCTTGACAGAAAGCTAAAGTGAGGACCAAATATCGAGGAGCGAGTGAGGAAGGTATCGGTTGCCTTTACTGCTGTAAAAGCGCTATTGGGAAGAGATATGATCCCTCCTATAAGGTTATGTTCTGGCTGTACGAAGCCACCATTAAACCTATTATGCTGTATGGGGCCACTGTCTGGTGGAACTCACTAGAAAGGTTCACACTAGCCAAGCGGCTGGCACGGGTACAAAAGGTTGGAATTAGTCGGGGAATTTCGAACCACTCCAACGCTAGCTCTAGATATTATATTAGTAGACAGTGCACCAAAGCTTCTGCGATCCACTCTGCCACCAGGCTGAAGTATGCTTGATTCTCTCTCTCTCTCTCTCCTGAGTATAGGCACTCGGTTATATTAGGGAAATCCAACTTCATACCCATCCAGGGTATAGTATCTGAAGCAAAGGACCGGTGAATTTTTTCAAGCACGTGTCGAAGCTTGATGTCAGAGTTGGAGGAGGTGTCTTTTTTGAGGAACTATTCTTAGATAATAGCTTTAAGTCATAGGATTTCTATAGCGCAGTCGATCAGTTGCGCACTTGTGTAATACCGTTTAAAGAGGTATAGATCTACTCTAACAGCCAAGCGGCGATCAAAGATCTGGGATCGCTGATGTTTAGATCAAAATTACTCTGCGATTGCCTGATCTCTATCTCTCTCTCTCTCTCTCCCTCTCTCTCTCCCCTCTCTCTCTGATCTCGAAACGATTCAAGTCAGAAGATGGTTCAGTACAAAAAAAATTACCCTAAGAGGAACAAGCTTGATTTAAAGAGTTGAAGTATTAACACGCTCTGGGATTTTGGGTTAACGAACTGGCAGAAGAATTGGGGAAATGTGAAGTGGCTGTTCAACCAATCGGAACCGATTATTGATTGGAGTAGAATTTGAACAGTTTGGCAGATCCGGCACTTCTTATTCAAAAGATGCCGATACCGCTGGTGCAGCCTGAATATTTACAAAATAACTAAGTGCCTTCTGTATCGAGGCCATTTTCTCCGGGGTAAGTTTATGAAGCAGCTAACGCAAGAAACTGCGTCATATGGATAGCTATCAACATTATTGTGGGGTTTCGGGGGCCTGCAGGTAGGAAAAACTAATCTATAGACATTATTTGAGACACAATTAACAACCACTAAATCTTTCGTCGGCAAGGTTAACCACAACTCATTACCAACTTACAAAGTTTGGGCTGCCTTGTAAGACCTGCCTTACACTTTCAAGATCCATGTTTTCGAAATAGACAAACATATATGTATGTAAATATTGTTGCCCTAATATGGAATAACCCTATCTAAACTTTTGTCTTTATGTACAGAGTAGTTAAAAGCAAAACTTTATAAAAACTAAAGTTCTTAATTTGGAAAATTCTTCAAAAGCTTAGGTTTCAATTAACACTGAAACTAATTTAGTATTGCTTTTAGTGAGGAACCTATCGACCTGTGTTTAAAGCAAAATTTCGAAGGAAAATTAGTAAGGTCATTTCTCTATTAAGGTAGCGATATGTAGGTTCAGTATATGAACAAGCCTCATAAAAATTCGAATAACAACTTCTTACATTCCCATAGAAGCCACATCAAACTCTTTTTCTCTACCGAAACGGTACGTCCCTCTGTCCTACCGACCCTCTGTAAACTCCCCTATTGGTAAACTCAAAATAAATGCAACAACAACAAAACTAGCACTGTATCTTATCTTCGTACGCGTTGACATATCATCGACTTAAGTACAACTGAGTTTAATTACGCCAATATGTCGTTCGAAATTAATTCATAGCTTATCAAAACCTTCCATCTGTTCTTCACATCTATATAAGGCACCAACTTTGTTATAGTGGGGCACATGTTACTTTGTGAGTGTTTGTTTCAGAGTGCAAATATGAAGCTCACAGCTGTGCTGTGTTTTGTAACTTTAGTCTACGTAGCCAATGCGATTTCAGGGTTTGGGCCACCTATCGGTATTGTCGACGAATCAGAATCACCTCTAACTCCTCCAGTACTGCATGTTGAACCAGAATATATATTTGCGGAAGAACCAGCGCCTGTACATGAAATTGCCAAGCACCCACAGGATGGTGACATTCCAAAGCCTAAATACCCTGCAATGCGGAATTGAATTGTGAAATGTTAAGCAAGAAATGAGCAAATCAATAAAAAAAATCTATATATAAAATCATAACAAAGTGTGTATATATACATATGTATGTCTGTATATGTCAGTATGACCAAATTTTGTTCCTCTTACCTAAAAAGTTTATTAGATGTTTCCTGGTCCTTATTTTTTGTTATCAGCCGCTTTTTGCTGTATTTGTGTAAATATCCGTATGTGCCCTACCATCGGAAAATATGGCAGTTAATCCTTAAAAGTTTTTCGTGAAC